CTCATTTGGTTGAAGATTCATGAAAATATTCAAATTTTTTTCTCCAACTCTAGTGAATTACTGGACACCCTATAGATAGATTTGAACTGATGTTCTTTTTGTTTTAGGAAAATTGCTACATGATTATGATTGGTTGCTCTTTCTCTATTTATCGTTTAATTTATAATTATGAGCAAATTAAATGTAAACAAACATTTAGACAAATTAACATCATCAATAGATCTTTTCTTGATACATATTTTCTTGTCATATATCTGGAACTGAACAGATAATTAAATAATATTTAATTTTATCTCGTCAATCATGTTCACAAACTATTGATTGTAAAAATATAAAAGATAGCCTCTTGTCGTTATATTCATTCACTTAATATTTTTATAATCTAAATTAATTTTAACAGTGTGAATATTATCATGATTATTCTAAAAATGGAAATTAATACTCAATTAGACAATTTATCCAATTATATATTTTTTGGAATATTTGCTTACTTACACATGTTTAGTGTGGATATGAAAGAAGAAAAATTCATATTCACACCGAAACTTCGAACCTAATCTACTCACACCCACCCTATCGATCCGCATCAAAATGAAATGTTACTGACAGTTTTTTCATGCGGAAAACAACCAATTTTTATATATCTACTATGTCAATAAATTTCTTTTATTCGTTTATCCAAGAATTTTTTACTTGTACGTTTGATCTTGTCCAAAAGATCATTTCTTTCCCCGATAATTTGTCTAAAACAACGGCTACATATTAGGAACATAAAACTTAACTTTATTTCAAGTTTGTCTCAAAATCAGTTTTGAATAGAAAACTTAGCATTTTATTTTTTTTACTTTATTAGTCAAACTCTATGAATTAGTTTGATGAGATCAATTGAGTATAGTTTGTTGAAATAGATGATAGTGAGTTACATGCAATCTATCCTATTTTATCATAGCTTATAATAGATTTTTTTCTCTTCTATTATTGATATGCACTGGTTTACCTAACAATGTGTCATATGTTTACTTTCTTTACACGTTTTTTTTCCACGTGATCATATATATAATTTCTTTTTCTTTCTGTATCATAACTTATTTTAGTTTTTTGTCATGTTAAATACGCTAGTAGACTATAAGACATTAAAAAAATGTACTTTTATTTTCATTTCATAGAAAGGTATGAGAAAACAGAAAAAACATAAAAGAAACAAAAAAAAAAGGAATCATAAATATAAAAAATCTAATAATAAACTATGTAACTGACATGATGATATGTATCAAGTTTGAAGACAGAAAGGAATAAATCACTATTAAACATTGATTGTATGACAATGAGTGTTATTCGATTAGATAATTCTTCATAATCTATTAAAAACATGAAAATATTTCTAGTGATAGAAGGCAACAATATTTTTTTTGTATTTCTCAAATTGCATAATGCCAATCAAATAATCGATTTCTAACAATGAAAATAAATCAAATTTAATATATACAAAAAGAAAATAATATTATAACGGGAATAATAATGTCTTTCCTTAACGTATTCATTAAGAATGTTTAAAATCTATATCACTTAGATTGAACGTTAAAAGATTATAACTTGTATGTAATAATATTTATCAAAAATCTGCTTTATTATAACGAATGATAACTTTATTCAAGAATATTTTCAAATTATTTAAGATACATTGTTCAATTGGAAAAAGAAACTAAAATGAGATATTATTTATATAGTTATTGAAAAAAAAAAATTGATATATTAGACAAGCGTGAATTAATTTGATATTTACACAAATTAAAGGATTTAATATGATGCATTTTAAAAAATCGTTTAGTCATCAAAAACAAAATGAATATAAAAATAAAAAAATGAAGTCTATTTCTCTAACTCATTTTTCAGCGAATCGACAAACTGTTTTACACATTCGTAATCAATAATAGTAGCCGTTACTTCAGGTCTTTTTTCTTTAATTAATTTAAATGCATCATCCGTTGACATTTTTTCATTAGCAACTAAATGACATAAAACAATAGTAGCACTTCTTCCCATACCAGCTTTACAATGAACAAAGATTTTTTCATTATTTATATAAGCTTCATTCATAAACTTAATCGCTTTTTCTATTGACTGTAATGATGGTAGTGTACAATCTATAGTAGGTAAACGCAATTGTTTTATATTATACTTAGCATATGTTTTACGTGGACCATAATATTCAGCACACATATTAACAACATATTTAATTCCTATATTATTTAATGTTTCTACATCAGCATGAGTAGGTAAACAACCTAAATAACAATATGTTGTTATTTGACTATATAAGGAATTTAATGGATTATTTAATAATTTAAAAGTTATTACTAATATATATGCTGGTATATCATATAATAAATGAATAATATAACGTCTTTTATCACGTAAACTCATAGGATGTGCACTTCGCGCAAAAGCGGCAAATATTAATATGTATGGAAAAAAGTATTGAACTTTTTCTATTGGTATATGATGAAATCCCACTAATCTAGCAATACTTTGAATAATAATTCTCATTATAAATATATCCCATAAACTAATTACTAATATGTATAATAATAATCGACATAAACCATAATAGGAACGTGTTTTTGACGTAAAATATGTATACCATTCAACAATAGCTATTGATATCGTCGAAATATAACTAACATAAGGATTATTAAATAGATATGTGGTCAAAATACTTAATAATAGACAACATAGAGCAACAAGAAAATTTCTGGAACGATTTAGAGCTTGATATACACGAAGTATTCGACGGTGTTTGTGGCGAATTGCTGATTTTTTTTCAGACAGCTTCTGTTCAATAATCGATCGATTTATTTGTTTTTCTGAAGAGTTTTTCGTCATCCCTTAATCTAAAGAAATTGTAATATAGTTCATAATTCTATATTAAATTTTGTCTTATTACTTATTTTTTGATTTATCAAAGCATTTATAAATAGAAGAGGAAAAAAAACGGCATTTACTTGTTTTTTCTACTATCTAATACAACAGAACGAAAAAAAAATTACCACTTTTCTATTCTACGAGCAACGTGCATTAATGATAGAACGAAAAAAAAATTACGGTGAATTATTACTTTTTTTTTGTTCTTCGTGTCTTATTACGGAAATAATATTATTAGAGAAATATTATCTTCATAATATGACTTATTTAATTATTTTGATGTTCTGTAAACTTTATCCAGAACAGTTCTATGAAAAATATAAAATTGTGAGCATTGATATGCGCCTGTCACCTTAATCTATGATTTTGGAAATGATGATAAAAGCAACACATTACATAGAATGATGAATTATTGTCAATTTTGGTGAAACTAAAGGATATGGATATAAGTGTGTGTTACAAAGAAAAATGCCCTCGTACAGCTGTTCAAAAATCTATATTTCAAGAAGAACAAAATACTATTGGAAACACGATAAAAATAAAAAAATCGTATAGCTACAAATAATTTTTTTTTCATTGTCTAAAGAAATATTGAATTAATCTAATTGGTAGCAAAAAGAATAAAAGTGCGACATATGATAAACTTTCACTGTGTCTGTTGATTTTAAATCGATAGAATAGAATAATATGAGTAGAAAAGGTACAAACATGGCCAAACGACATGAAAATTGCCTTCACCTCTGGAATCTTAACTCCAATAACCTTTACTTATTAACATGACCAAACTGCGACCACCAAGTCGTATCCACTTCGCGTGAGCGAAGCGATTCTCTAGTATCCAACTTGACTTTTTTTTTACCATTTCTGTATGATGAGATCACAACATGTTTTAATCCGATTGACAATCTTTTATTTTATTTGTTTCAAAAACTATTTTTTAAAAAGACTTCGTTGTTTTTCCATCTTCACTTTTCAATATCACATTATATTTTATGTTCATTCATTTGAAGTACACTTGTAGTGAAAGATAGATTGATAGATAGAGCTAAAATTTTTGTATCATAATATGAAAAAAAGACAAAAATCATGAGTATCTCCTATTAGTAGAAATCTAATTCAGGCATGTAATTAGGGAACATTTCAAAATTTTTGCCGGCCGGCCGACCGCTTTGCCGTTCAACCACTCTGCCTCTATAACGCTCTTCCACTCTGCTGTTCTCATGCCGCGGCATAACGAATTTATTTTAATTCCATTTTCACATGT